GTTTTGTTCAAGATTTTCTAATAGTTGATAAAACTTTTTTCCTATGACTTTTTATACACTATCTTGATCTACTAAACAGCAAATAATCACACCTCAGTTTATGACATGGGATGGGATCAAAATTTTAGTTAGAAATGTATTGTCTTTAATTTGGAAGCCATACTATGAAACCCAGCTTGTTTAAACAATTCACATACGTGTTTGAATATGCTTAAAAAATAATCTCTACCAGGGCACACAGGAGGCTGTGGGTGGTGTTGCAGTCTGGGAATGGAGACTGGGAGAGGGTGGGAAAGAGGACCGCCATTTCTCAGTTTACACCCCACAGTACTAAATGTTTTTTTCCTCACTGTGAATATATGTTATTTTCTTATATAATAAAAATTAACTTAAAACATTTGTAACTATATATATTCTATAACATCATTAATATTAATTAATATTATATTATTAAATTTATATATATGAAGAGATATTAAAGCTAAGAGTTGGATTCCCAGGCTAGCTCCCCAAAGCCTGTTCAGCTCAAGACGTGGTGGGTAATAGTAGGAGTGGACATCAGACAGCAGCCCCCTGTGTATTCTGTTTCTATGGAAAACCTGCATCCCAGAAAGAGTTCACCCTGAGCGCCAGAAACATTTCCTCCTTGCTGCTTTCTCCCCACATGTCCCACTTTCTAATAAATGTTGCCCTAGAAATAGGACCGGAGACTCCTCCCTGTGCTCAGGGGCCATGGCAGCAGGAAGCCCAGTGTCCTCCTAGCACAGTCAAGAGCGGAGACTTCAGCAGGCTCCAGCCCTCTGTGTGGGAGGGAAAGGAGCATTTCTCCCTACGCACCCACTGTGTGCCAGGCACGGTGCTTGGTTTCTCTCATACTTTACCTGTTCTGCTGTTCCTGACAATACAGTGAGATAAGTATTATTGTTACGAAACTGAGGCTCTGGGAGATTTAGTAACATTCCTGTGATTTCTCCCCTAAATATCTGACAAAGCTGAGATTCCAACCTATAAGATTGTGCACCGTCCTTTATAACTCAGTGACCCTCCTGCATAATCATTTCTTTGTAAAAGACCTATAAAAGTTAAGCATGGGTAGGCTCTTTGGACACTGCCTGAGGTTAGCAGGGCCCTCTGAAACAATTAGAAAGTGAGCAACATGAGGGCAGGAACCTGCTCTGATCATCTTTGTATCTGCATTGCCTAGCATCATCCTGGAAGTGCGATAAATTCCTCATAACTGTTGTTTGAGTAGCAGGAAACATTATTCTTTGCTCTGCTTCCTAAGAGAGAAAATTAGAATCATCCATTTTAGAAAAATTGTCAACAGCAAATATTGAAACAAGAAAAATATTTTCTCATTAACCTTCAGTTGACTAGGAAATTCAAAGAACTGAAGTGTTGTAAGGAAAGCTCTGGGCTTATGAGTCATCCATTCACGGGAACAAATTGAAGAGGCACCCATTGTGAGTTAGGACAACTTAGCAGGTGCCAGAAACTAATCACCTGGTAGAACATTTGCAGTTCCCCATCCCTATGGGGAATGCTTGGTCCCAACTCCACATAACCAGCTTTCAAGATGACTCTTAGAAAACAAACTAAAAGATGGGATAATAGACATTCCCTTAATTTGAAGCATAATCTGTGGTCAGTGATTCCCTTCAGTAAAGGAGAGAAAAGAACCCACGTTTCTCAGCTGTAAAGAAGCATGCCATCTCAGAATAACCAACATTGACTTGATTTTCACAATGTGACAGTCTGTCTTCTACAGGCTCAAGGGCTTTAGTTTACTGCATTCTTGCCACAACTGTATGAGTTAGCTATGATGATCATCTCCATTTTTACAGAAAACTAAGATTGGCAGAAATTAAACTACTAGTTAATAGTGGAGCTGATATTAGAAGCAAGGTCTGGCAGACCCCAAAGCCCTCTGTAGACTGTCTCTCTTGGAACACAAAGGCTAGCTGCCTCCTGATATGATGGGGAAGATGGATGAGCCTGAGCCTGGAGACAAATGCTCTAAGCTCACTCACTCCTAGAATCAGTGGGGAAGCTCCTATTAGGGCCAAGACCACTGGAATTTGGCAGTGTCAAGGCCAGGCTTGTCACTGACAAGAGTTACTTTGGAAGAGTGATGACCAAGAAGTCTGTTTGCCTTTAAGAGCAATAGGAAGATGTGGAAACATGAATGTAAACAATTCTTTGGTGAATTTTGTTGTAGACTGCGGCTGAAATTGAGAGTGGTAATTGGAGAGAGAGGTGGAGTCAAGGAAGGTTTTTTTTTTCCAAGACAGAAACATAGTAGCATGTTGGTATACTGATGGGAATGATCCAGAACAGAGGAAAACATTAATTTAGGCAAGATGGGGCAAATGGCCATGTGAGAGGGCGTAGGATCTGATCCACAATGGAGGAGTTGGTCTTAGATGGAGAACAGGTGGTTCATCCACAATAACCAGGAGAGCAGGACAGTACGGAAACCTGACAAACGCTGAGTAGTTGCTGGGCTAATGTCCACATGAGGTTAGTGGTCACAGATTGAAAACAAGACCAGTCAGCATGATGGCCAATCATGTTTAACTGGGTGCTGGCAGAGAGAAGGTGAAGAATTAGATTTACCAGGGTTATCACTTAATATGGAGGGAGGGAGGGAGGTGTGGATTTGAAGGAACACATAAAAGAGAAATGATAATAAACCTAGAAACTAAAGTGGTTAAAGGAGGAAGGTAGGTCAAGAGGAGAGTAAGGAACAGAGAAAAGATCATGGGATAAGTAAATTACAGGAGTCAAGGGGATACTGGGCTAGGATAACAGAAAGAATAAGGTGGAAACGTAGGAGGTGGTGACTGCAGAGTGGAAAGCTTGGCATAGAGATTATGGATGGTGTCACTGTCAGAAATGGGAGCTGGGATAGTTGGAGGTCCAGGAAGGGAGCGGATGCTGAAGAGCTGAGAGACCAGAGTATGAGAAGAATCTATTAGGTAGATTTGGAAATAAGAATGATCATGGGAATGATATTGGGGAAAGTGACAATGACCCAGACACCAATATCTTCAAGGAACAAAAGGGTCTGCAGGTGGCTGCAGTAAGTAGGAGTGATGGGCAAAGCGGTCTGTTATTTTCAAGGAGAGCCAGGTTTCCATCAGAGTAGGAAATTGAAAGAAACATTTGGACAAGAGGATGAGGATATTGGGGATTGGGATGAACCATGAATTCCCAAGGGCAAACGGAGGATTCTAGCAGGTGGGAGGAGATGGATTGATTCGTGCAAACATTCACCCAATCACATACACTTCTTGGATTTGAGAGCTCAGGTTATCAGGAGTGGGGAAAAAAGAAGAGGATAGAGAGATGGGCGAGGCAGCTCAAGAAAGGCTACTTTGCTGGGAAAGGACAGCCTCCCCCTGGTTCGCAGGCATTCCTCCCTGAGTATTCTGGCTAAAGTGGCTTCTTTCTGTCCTCCATCATAATTTGTAAAACAAAAGCTGACAGTGGAAAATCCAGAGATGGCTGAGTGTTTACAGAATGAGAAAACCTTGGCACAGATTTGGGGGACCTTAGGCTGCTGCAGCTGGTGAGCTAATCAGTCTGAGACTATGGAAGGGCCCCAGGATGTTGCCCCAATGGTTGACTCTCTAACTCTCAGTCTCCAAGGATAAAGACAGAGAAGAGACAACCATTTTCCTTCCATGTTTCCTTCTTCCTTCCTCTTGCCTCCTCCCCAGCATCAGTGCTGGGCTCCCTCTCTGGAGCACAGTCCCAAAGGCCAGGGCCCTCCCAGGGGAGCAGGCAGTCAGCCCTGGGGGAAAACACACAATGCATCTGCCCAAGTTATACAGGCCGCTGATCTAGAGAAAGAGATTCCTTCAGTCTGACATGAATTTCTTTAGAATCTACAACTTGGGCTTTTAGACCTTAACTTCTGTTTCTACATACTATATTTGAAACCGCTCAACTCTTTTTTTTATAATATAGGAGGAGTATCTCTCTTTTCTCCCCCGACACTCCATCACAGTGCTCAGTCATCCATAAGTTACTTAACTTCTGAGCCTCCGTTCCCCTACCTGAGAAATGGAGACTTATTACTTTCTCTGCTTGAGCCTCCGTTTCCCTAATTGAGAAATGGAGACTTATTACCGTCCCTGCTTGAGCCAGTCTCTTAAAAGGAGGAAATAATATTTGGAGTGGAGTTAGAATTCGGGTTCAAAAAGGAGAGGTTTGGGAACATTGGAAGCTCCTTCTCCGTTGCCTCAAGAAATAGTTAAGCTTTAAATTCCTGCATCTCCCCATGAGAAGCACAGAAAAAACGATTTCCCAAATATCGGAGGAGGACAGGTATAATGCAAAAAAAGCAAGAATCGTTTTAGAACTGGTTATGCTCCAATTTGTAAAAAAAATGGTACAAAGAGGGTGGGGTGGGGAAGACACCCTCCAACAGGGAGTTGGGAGGCAGCGCGCGCGCGCCCGCGGCTGCCGAGCAAGACGGCCGCGGTCGCCTAGCAACGAGCGGCGGGGATGCGCGCGGGGCGCTCCGCCGGGTGGGCGCGGGGAGCTCGCCGCCGCCGGTGACGCGCGCCCTCCGGCCTCCTGGACCCGCTGGGAAACTTTGGGGCTCCTAGGCGCGGGGACGTCGCTGCTAGGCCCAGTGGAAGCCGCGATGCGCCCCTCGGGCTGAGGGCAAGAAGATGAGGTCTCAGCCAGGCGCACCCGGCGGGGGGATCCGCGGGGTCGCACACACGGAAAGTTGGCGCGCACCTGCCCGAGCCCTGAAGACTCTTGATCCCTGGGCGGAATTGCCCCGATGCCAAGTTTCTTTGACAATTTCGCACCCCTCAGTGGATCAGGCTTCCGGAACCCCGAGTGGCCCCGGGTTCAGAGATTCTGATCACTGGGAGAGAGAAACCCGCGCTTTTCTAAGGGACCTGCGCGGTAACTGATGCTTAATCGATTTGCCCTGAATGGTTGCGATTCCATTTTTATTTTCTGCTTTTTTCTTCCTTCAGACAGTGAGTTTGTGGAAGCCTCCCCTGCGCCCTACAGCCCAGAGGAGTTAGGTAAGTCTGCCCCTTTTGCCTTTTCTTCTCAAAATCCCGCCTGAGGGGCAGAAGGAAAGGGCCAGGAGACACTTCCCCGGCTACGTGTTCCCTTCGCGGTGAAAACTGGCCCTTTCCTGGCGCGTGGGCTTTGGGGGTGGCTGGGAAATTGTCAGCTGTGAAATTGTCAGCTGTGCTCTGTGTGTGTGTGTGTGTGTGTGTGTGTGTGTGTTTCCCCGTCCATCCGTCCTTCCCCAGGTCCATGGTGCCGCTCCGAGGAGCGCGGCGCAGCAAACTTCCTGATCTGGGGCCTCTGCGAGCAGCCAGGCCAGACTCATCCTCTCTGGAAAGACGCGTCGCGGGGCTGGCTCTGCCTAGCCAGTACCTGGCAGCGCTTAACCTGAATTTAATGAAGTCCAGGGCTAAAAATGGTCTGGTAATTAAATTTCAGGACCTGGGAGCTGCATTCCTCCCTGGTTTCTGTTCCTCATTCAGCCTGTAGGTGTCTGGGAATAGGGCATTTCATCCTTTTGTACCTGTCGTTGTAAGCGTAGATGAGTGGTGGGTGAACTAGGACAGTCTTGTCAGAGACAGACTTCCTCGTGTGAAGAGAAGGGAATTTGCATTGTCAGGATCGCTCTAGGTATTCCTGCCACCCAGTCTCACTTGGTGGCTTAGCGGTTGGTGGCTTTTTTACCCCCCTCACTCTCCAGCTTAGTTAAGCTGCTAACAGTCTGGGCTGTCAAGTCTGTCCTGGCTGTTCTTTTATCACCAGCTTGAACATCTTGCCTGCCTTCCATGAAATGACAGCTGTTTGAAAATGTTTATCCACTGTAGTGCTCTCAGCCTTGGGCAACTTGTTTCTGGTCAGTCTTTCCTCCTGAGCTGTGTGTCTTCAGCAAGTTCCCCGGCACCTAAAGTAAAATTCCACTGCAGCATTGACTTTCATCCATTTCTAGGAGCCAGGTACCCAAAATAGGTCTGGATCTAGGATGGCGTTCTGAGGCAGGGAAGAGTACCTTGTTTTATTCAGAAGATGTGTTTCTGACAAGTTGTGAGGCAATGGCATCTCTGGAAATGGAATCATTAATTAAGTGCATGAGTAAAACTTGCTTTTAAATGTTCACTGTGTGGGGTAGATGGGTATAGCTCAGTGGTAGAGTGCCTGCTTAGCATGCACGAGGTCCTGGGTTTAATCTCCAGTACCTCCATTAAAAAAAAAAAAAAAGGAACACTGTGGTGAGTCCTTTTGGGAAAATGACATCTAAACCAGAGCTCTGTATGAAGTGATTTATTAAGAGGGCGGATTCTTGGTGATCTGATCCACATGTGTTTAATGGTGTATTAATGACACCAGCATTGGTGCTCCACAGTGTGACTGAAGCTGTTTGATCCTTAAATTATAGATACGCATAAACCATGGCAGAATGAGCATCCCTTACTCTGAGAAACCGCCTGTATAACTATCTAGCTGTTTGCATTCACAGAATGATTTATGTACCAGAAGGGCCCAGCTGATTCACCCTCTTTCATGTCAGTATCTGCCTCTGGGGCTCACAGGCTGGACTGCCCAGCTGGGGCATTGATCAGTAGGGGGAGCCCTTCAGATGAGCAGTGGAAAACAAGAAAACAACCTTTTTTTCTCAAAACCTCCTCTGTGGGAAAAGCCTAGTTTCTCAGTAGGAGTTGAGAATGTTTAAGGAATCATGGGTTCCCTCCCTGGCTCTGGAAAGGCAGGATGATTGAGAATATAAAGCAGAAGTCTGAGAATTGGAGAGCAGGGTTCTCCCTGCTTCAGCTTCTTTGGTAGATATGCTAATGAGTCTGTTTTCTCATCTTTGAAAAGTGGTGACAAGTGACCTCTAAGGTGTCATCAGTTCCAGCCTCCTTAGACCGAAACCAAATGTGCCGTGCTGTTCAGGTGCATGGTGTCTCCAAAGGGTGATTCTCTTCCTGACAGAGCAGCTTATTGGATGAGACTACATTGTTTCCATACTATTCAGGTTAAAGGGGGAGCTGGCGTTTCTCTGTTGGAAAGAGTCATGATAGTTTTTGGTGCTTTTCTTAGACACACGGCGGGGCAGGGGGAAGGGGAGGAGGGAAGGGGGAGGGAAGGGGGAGGCCTCCTACTGCAATTGATGAGCTTCTCAAACAGTCACTCTTTCTGGAGCACAGAAGAGCACAGATTCACCCCATGGCCAGGACCTGGAGAAGAGATGGAGGGAGGTCATAAAAACTTAGTTTGAATTCTATCACTTCACTTACTTGTGACCTTGGGCAGGTGACTAAACTACTGCTCTGAGCCTCAGTTATCTCTCAGCCTAACTGGAGACCTGGCATAACTGTTGTAAGTGGCGTAAAGCCCTAGCCCCCCGTGTTGTACGTGAGGGTCTTCAGAAAGTGCTTGTTGCTGCTTCTTTATTATCGTTGTTCATTCGAAAGACACTTATTTCCCATGCGCGAAGGATGGACTAGCTCTCATCAATTGTCCCAACTTCTAAACCAAAACCATTTTTACGTCTAGAAATTTCTCTGCAGTTTACCTAATCCCCAGACACAGATGTTCTGGAATGGTGATCGGGTCAGTCCCATTATTTAGTGACTTGTTCTTGGAGCAGCATGTGGAATGGCGTTCCATCTGGGGTCTTCAGTGACAATCCTGCTACTTTCTTGTGGCATGAGAGGTAGTCTGCTTTACCTCCAAATTTTCACGGAAACCTCCAAATGAACCACAACCAGCTCGTTGGGGGATTTAGCCTCAGTGTTGCCACAAGATCATGTAACAAAATTAAGTAACCCAAAAGAGGTTTTTGAGAAGACAGTGGAAGAAGAAGTCTGTCTGTAGATGAATGCTGTATTGAAGGAGTCCTCTGACGCAGAGTCCAGAATATGCCCTCTCTCCTGTGATAGTACCATTTTCCAAAGAGCCAAAAAGCCATCCCTCTTCATCATCTTTCTATAGTCCCACCCACAGGCAGAAGTGATGGCCATCTGAGGAGGTAAGAAAGGATGCATGGAGAGCTGGGATGAACCCAGATGTGACCATGTCTGTCCCTGTCTAATAACCTTTATCAACTTCCCACTCCCTAGAGGATAGGCATTGGTTAGCCATAGGAGGACCCTCATGGTTTGCATTGCCCACCCACTAAAACCTCCTGGTTACACTGAACTCTGGGAAAGTCCTCTAAATTCAGCCCTGTTCCCTTTGCCTGCCTTTCCTCCCCCATCTTCCTTCCTCCCCTGGCTGGTTCCTACCCCTCCTTCAACACGAAGTCCACGTGTCTTATGCTCCTAGTGGTTCTTAACCCTGCACATTAGAATCAGGGGAGCTATGAAAAGTCCTGAGACCAAGTCCTAACCCTGACCAATTACTCTGGAGTCCCTGGAGTGTGGACCCAAGCATCAGTGTTTTATTAGTGTGGCTTTTAAAAATCGTATCGCAAGTGATTTCTTGGTGACAACCAAGCTTGTGAGCTACTGTGCTTGGTTGTGGCCACCCCATTCTTCTTTGTAAATCTAGCAGCCAGCCCAGTGCCTGGCACACAGAGGTCTTCAGTAAATGCTTACTGAATGAACGAGTAGGGTCCCAGCCGGAATGCTTTATCTTTTCAGAGTTATCTTTAAGATTGGCTTCTCGGTCATGTCAGTGCCTCGGGGCACCCGAATCCTTTGACCTTTGACCTGTATCTCTTGCTTTTGTTCATTCCTTAGGCTTATCATGTTTATTTTCTTTCTTAAAGATTGAAGTTTGAAAACCACTTTTTAACCGGGGAAAGCGGGAGGGAAAGGATAAATTTGGGAGTTTGGGATTTACAAATGTTAGCCAGTATATATAAAAATAGATTAAAGAAAAAAGTTTCTTCTGTGTAGCACAGGGAACTGTGTTCAATATGTAATCACCTTTAATGAAAAAAATATGAAAGCGAATATATGTATGTATATGCGTGACTGGGACATTGTGCTGTGCACCAGAAATTGGCACATTGTAATTGGCTGTACTTTAATTTAAAAAGTGAAAAAAACAAAACAAAACAATACTTTTTCGTATAAACGTAACACCTGCTTACTTTAGAAAATTTGGACATTAGAGAGAATGAGGGGAAAGTCCACTCTCACCATCCAAATGCACATGGGTCCTTGTTTCCTTCCCTTTTCCTAATTTGCTGCCCTTTGGGGTTGCCTGACCCTCTGGTACGCCTCAGTGAGCTCCAGCTGCTGCCCTCTTCACTCAGACCCTGTGAACTTTCCTGAGTCCCGAAAGGAGCCCTCCCGAGAACGGCGTTCTTGGGAGCGACCAGGGCTAACTCCCCCGGGGCCAGTGTACCATGAGAAAGTGCTATTCTTGCCTTCTTCATTCCAGCAGGAGGTCTGGGTTTTCTTAGAATAAATGGTAACATTTGTGTGGTTTCTTTAAAATAATAACTTAAGTGTTTGCCAGTCTACCCCCGACCCTCCTAAAATATGAGATGAGACTGCGTTGCCAGATAATGGCATGTCTGTCTGTCAGAGTGCAGCAGCTGGTAAGTGTGAAATTAGTCAGGATAGGCTAACCGCTGTAACAAATAACCCAAGCGTCAGTGAGCTTAACACGATGAGGGCGGTGTCTCTTGCGTGTGTGATGGTCTAGTATGAACTCTCGGAGGGCTCTGCTCCACGTGGTCTTGGAGACCCCAGCCTTTTTCCCTGCCCTGGCTCCACCATACCCTAGCACATCAGGTTCTTTTATTGGCTCCCTTGCATCCATTTGGCAGATAAGCATAAAAGGTGAGCAAGACAAAGATATGCTCAGTGATGATTGTCTCAGCTGGGAGGTAACATACACACCCACCCTCGTATTCCAAAAGCGGGAGCTAGTCCCAGAGCCTCATCCAGATAGAAGGATCCTGGGAAATGTAGTCTAGTAATGTGCCAGGAAGAAGAGAAGAGCACTGAAGTGGTGGTCACTAGCTCTCTACCAGTCCTATGTTTCTTACTGCTCTAACCACAATGACTAAGCTACATCTGGGCCATGTAACTACTAC